ACAGCTCGTGGCCCTTCATTGTTACAGCTCGTGGCCCTTCATTGTCACAGCTCGTGGCCCTTCATTGTTACAGCTCGTGGCCCTTCATTGTCACAGCTCGTGGCCCTTCATTGTTACAGCTCGTGGCCCTTCATTGTTACAGCTCGTGGCCCTTCATTGTCACAGCTCGTGGCCCTTCATTGTTACAGCTCGTGGCCCTTCATTGTTACAGCTCGTGGCTCTTCATTGTCACAGCTCGTGGCCCTTCATTGTTACAGCTCGTGGCCCTTCATTGTTACAGCTCGCGGCCCTTCATTGTCACAGCTCGCGGCCCTTCATTGTCACAGCTCGCGGCCCTTCATTGTCACAGCTCGTGGCCCTTCATTGTCACAGCTCGTGGCCCTTCATTGTCACAGCTCGCCGCCCTTCATTGTCACAGCTCGCGGCCCTTCATTGTCACAGCTCGCGGCCCTTCATTGTTACAGCTCGCGGCCCTTCATTGTTACAGCTCGCGGCCCTTCATTGTTACAGCTCGCGGCCATTCATTGTTATCGCTCGTGGCCCTTCATTGTCACAGCTCGCGACCCTTCACTGTCACAGCTCGCCGCCCTTCATTGTTACAGCTCGCGGCCCTTTATTGTCACAGCTCGCGGCCCTTCATTGTCACAGCTCACTGCCCTTCATTGTCACAGCTCGCCGCCCTTGATTGTCACAGCTCGCCGCCCTTGATTGTCACAGCTCGCGGCCATTCATTGTCACAGCTCACTGCCCTTTATTGTTACAGCTCACTGCCCTTTATTGTCACAGCTCGCCGCCCTTCATTATCACAGCTCGTGGCCCTTCATTGTTACAGCTCGCGGCCCTTCATTGTCACAGCTCGTGGCCCTTCATTGTTACAGCTCGCCGCCCTTCATTGTCACAGCTCGCGGCCATTTATTGTCACAGCTCGCGGCCATTCATTGTTATCGCTCGTGGCCCTTTACTGTCACAGCCCGCGGCCCTTCATTGTCACAGCGCACGGCCCTTCATTGTCACAGCTCGCCGCCCTTGATTGTCACAGCTCGCCGCCCTTGATTGTCACAGCTCGCGGCCTTTCATTGTCACAGCTCACTGCCCTTTATTGTCACAGCTCGCCGCCCTTCATTATCACAGCTCGTGGCCCTTCACTGACACAGCTCGCGACCCTTCATTGTCACAGCTCGCTGCCCTTCATTGTCACAGCTCACTGCCCTTTATTGTCACAGCTCGTGGCCCTTCATTGTCACAGCTCACTGCCCTTCATTGTCACAGCTCGCGGCCCTTCATTGTCACAGCTCGCCGCCCTTCATTGTCACAGCTCGCGGCCCTTCATTGTCACAGCTCACTGCCCTTTATTGTCACAGCTCGCCGCCCTTCATTGTCACAGCTCGTGGCTTTTCACTGTCACAGCTCGCGACCCTTCATTGTCACAGCTCGTGGCCCTTCATTGTCACAGCTCGTGGCCCTTCATTGTCACAGCTCGCGGCTCTTCATTGTCACAGCTCGTCGCCCTTCATTGTCACAGCTCGCGGCCCTTCACTGTCACAGCTCGCGGCCCTTCACTGTCACAGCTCGCGGCCCTTCATTGTCACAGCGCACGGCCCTTCATTGTCGCAGCTCTTGGCCCTTCATTGTCACAGCTCGCGGCCATTCATTGTTATCACTCGTGGCTCTTCATTGTCACAGCTCGTGGCCCTTCATTGTCACAGCTCGCGGCCCTTCATTGTCACAGCTCGTGGCCCTTCATTGTCACAGCTCGCGGCCCTTCATTGTCACAGCTNAGCGGCGAGCTGTGAAATGAAGGGCCACGAGCTGTGACATGAGGGCCACGAGCTGGTGACAAATGAAAGGCGCAGAGTGGGACAATCTGAGGGCGGCGAGCTTGTAACAATGAAGGGCGGCGAGCTGTCGCACGAATGAAGGGCCGCGAGCTGTGACAATTGAAGGGCCACGAGCTGTGAAAATGAAGGGCCCGCGAGCTGTGACAATGAAGCGGCGCGAGCTTGTGACAATGAAAGGCCGCGAGCTGTGGGACAATGAAGGGGGCGAAGCCGTAGCATGAAGGGCCACGAGCTGTGACAATTGAAAGGCGCGAGCTGTAACAATGAACGGCCACGAGCTGTGACATGAAGGGCCCGCGAGCTGTGACAATAGAAGGCCAACGAGCTGTGAAAATGAAACGGCCGCGAGCTGGGACAAGAAGGGCGGCTGAGCTGCTAACAATGAAGGCCCACGAGCTGTGACAATGAAGGGCCGCGACTGTGACAATGAAGGGCACAGCTGTGAGCAATGCAAAGGCCGCGAGCTGTAACAATATGAAGGGCGGCCGAGCTGTGACAATGAGGGCCGGCGAGGTGTGAACTAATGAACGGCCACGAGTCTGTGAAAAATGAAGCGGCCGCGAGCTGTGACAATGAAAGGGCCGCGCGAGCTGTAACTAATGAAGAGGCCAACGAGCTGTACCAATGAAGGGCCACGACTGTTGACAATGAAGGGCCACGAGCTGTTGACAATGAAGGGGCGCGAGCTGTGACATGAAGGCGCCGCGAGCTGTAACAATGAAGGGCAGCGAGCTGTAACCTAATGAAAGGGCCACGAGCTGTGACAATGGAAAGGCCGCTGAGCTCGGGACAATGAAGGCGGGCCGAGCTGCTGACAATGAAGGGCCGTGCGACTGTGACAATGAAGGGCCGCGGGGGTGCGTGAGGGCCGCACGTGACCAGGAAGGGCGCGGCCTGACATGACGCGGCATGTGACAATGAAAGCGGCCAAGAGCTGTGATCAATGAAGGGCCGTGCGCTTGACATGGAAGAGCCGCAGAGCTGTGACCATGTGAAGGGCACGAGCTGTGACATGAAAGGCCGCGAGCTGTGGCAAATGAAAAGGCCGCAAGCTGTGACAATAAAGGGCTAAGAGGCTGTGACAATGAAGGCGCGTGCGATGTGACAATGAAGGGCCGACTGTGACAGTGAAGGGCCACGAGCTGGGACAATGAAGGGCGGGCGAGCCTGTGACCAATGAAGGCCGTGCGCTGTGACAATGAGGGCGCGAGCTGTGACAGTGAAGGCGCGGCGAGCTGTGACATGAAGGGCAAGAGCTTGACAATTGAAGGGCCACGAGCTGATGACAATGAAGGACCGCGAGCTGCTGACAATAAAGGGCCGCGAGCTGTGAACAGTGAAGACCGCGAGCTGTCTTCATTGTTACAGCTCACGGCCCTTTTGCGGTCAATTTCGTGTCGTCACAACAACACTTTTCATAGTGTTATTATCTATAAGGCAACTTCGTGACCCCCAGTCACTGTGGTAATACTGTTAAAGGTAGACGCTCGTGGGCTTTCTGGTTTCTCTATTATCCACTCCTGATGTTATTATGCGATCATGCGTGAATGATTTCAGACATCAACGAATGCGATTATGACAATTTCGGCTGCTCGCACATATGTTGGAATGTTGCGGGTACGGCATACTGTACCTGCCCGCTGGGATACGTACTAGGCGACGACCAGAAAACATGCGAAGGTACGAGCTCTAGTAACTAAATCACTTCCACGTCTCCTTCCTTCGGCTAAGATCTGGCCATGGTAGATGTGTGACTTTGATTATATCAGCAACCTGACAAAAAGCACACATAGTATAGTTTTTTTTCTAGATTCTTTTCGCATTCTTTTTCTGAAAAATTATGGGTGAAAGGGGCAATTCGTTGTTGAGACGCCCCATCCCAATATTGCGTTATGAGTAAGTTATAGATATATCCGCTGTCGGTCGCTGCATTACAAGGCGCCGGTCTGCAGGCAGTCGATGTGATATTGCTGCTCCTCTGCCGCACACAACTTATACAGTTGTTGTCCCTCGAACAGCCAGCCGACTGACTAACTGCGTTATATGTCACCAGCAGTGACCCCGCTGCCTGCATGGAACCCTGCTGGTGACAGAGTCCTCACAATAAAAGGTTTTCAGTAAGGCAGACGTTCAAGCTAACCGATTGGGGTGATTTTAATAACGCGATCTTCACAAAATTTTCTGATTATATAGCTAGTGTGGTTCACGTGCAAACATGCATGACCGGAAATATATCGGTGTACACACAGCGATATTAATACGGGTACCTATTTAATTTGTATTATATGGATACAGAGGGAATAGCTCGTTGTAATATATACATTGATAGTGGGTAGGTACATTCTAAGCGTCTGTTATACGCATTGATAGAGATTAGGACAATATTCTATGCTCGTGTTATATACATTGATAGAGAGTAGGAAAATTCTAAGCTTCTGTTATATGTATTGATAGGCAGTATATGACAATGGAAAAGTTCTAAGCTTGTGGCATATACATTGAAAGGTAGTAGGGGAATTCTAAGCTTGTGTTACACACATTATTTGAAACTACAAACATTCAAAGCTTCCGGCGTTATATACATTGATATGGTGTATGTATATTCTAAGCTTATGCACATCGAAAGGGAGTAGGACCATATCAGCATATACAGAGGTGGTCACGCGGTTATATAAAGTGTGTCCATGTTCAGCGCCTGTTATATATATATATATACGCTTGACTACTCCGACATTATACAACAACAGCCGTGATCACGTGACGAAGGTCCGAATGGAAGGTCTGTTGGATTGAACGGTTACGTAATCTATACTGATGCGTTACTGAATCCTGTTAAGTGTGAATGATGCATCGATGGTAATTTGCATATTGGCATGCGAGGAAAACGAATGATCGTGGCGGGTTAAATTTAACGTCAAACTCGCTGCTCGGTGAAAGATAACATATTAATATCGAGAAAAAGACCCTTCGTCGGTTTTTACTTCGTCGGAAAGTGTGTGCACGTTGTCGGGAAAGGCAGAACTTTCATAATTACTGAATAATCCAGTCGTGTAAATATTTTGCACTCACGTACACACATTTACATAAACATGCATATGCACACAGGCGCGCCCGTTCACATATACGCAGCCGCGCGCATGACTTGCCGCATGCACACGCACGCACACACGCACGCACGCACGCACGCACACACACACACGCGCGCGCATGCCACGCACATATACGTTCGCCTGGCGCCAAGACAGTATTGAATGCGTTTCACACGCTGGCAGCTCACACAGTAGCTCTGCTCATAATACATCGTTCGACAGACCCGTAAACTAATAACAAATGCTGGGAATGCAATTAAAGGCACGAGTATTTACGTAACAACGCCACTGCCGTAACGATCCGTGTCGACCTATATAGGGCAGGCTTCCATGTACACGTCTATATGTACGAAGATGACGTGACCGCAGGTGCTTCCCTTACAAATAGCGGGCGAGCCCTTATTGTTACAGGCAGCAATTAAATTAAGAAGTGAATAAATACAAAAAATAGCGTCAAATTAAATTACGCTCACAGTTTAATTGCTTCGTCGATATTGAAATTCATTAATTCGACATGACAGCGAATAATTAATTTGAGAGAGTTTGGGTGTGTCTATACCGATCACCCATCCCCTGCTTCTAGGCGGTTAACTGTAGTCGCTGACACATTTCACGTTTCGGGTTAGGAGGTCGTGGTTTGTTGTGCCATCAAGAAACTGTTGACATGGTTGATTTAATATCGATAACTAGCGCGAATTAGCGAAGCTGAAAATTACAGGTTTAGTGTTGATCGGCTTACATGTGCTAGATGTTTTATTCGCTTTTATGTGCAAGTATAACTGTGCTCTTATCAGCTTTATGATAATACTCGCATATGAGACAGGAGATTTTCTGTTTTTATTAAACCCTTTACGATTTATTCTACGCGTTAAAAGATTTATTCGAACATTATTACCCCGTATTATTTTTCCCAGATTTAAACGAGTGTCTACAGAACAATGGCGGATGTGAACAAAGGTGCGTCAATACGGAAGGATCCTACTACTGCACATGCGCAGCCGGATTCACGCGGAGTAACGGAACATGCGTTGGTGGGTACGATAATCCGCCATCTTTACGTCAAACACATGGCGCACATGTAACGAATGTAGCAATATTATCATTATTTTTATTATCATCTGTGATGCGGCTAAATATATGCCGTTGATCTGCGTTGCCGCGAGCGCAGTTTGGCTATTGAAACCTGCTCTGTAAATTTATGTAATCTTATCCGTACATTTATAAGCGTCATCTTGCGGTGAGACTATCGCCCGCAACTTACTTGGTGATTCTGTCGTCGCACCGCCGTCGTGGGTGGATTACGCACTGTTGCACTCATCACCGTGTGTTAAGCCGATCACTCTCTAATTTAGTACATTAGCTATTCCCTGCCACTCCCTGTGATCACTATGCATGTACGCGCGATTTAGGGGTACACGCTCTCTGGCGTTACAGCGAGTCGCCGCCAGGGCGCTGCATGATGATGACTCATGCTAGAAGCTCAGCAGCAGCTGCTTCCCGTAGTTAAGCTCGTTCCCGTAGTCTCTACTCCCACGGCGACATTGTACTAATCGCCGACGCTCTAATCTGTACTGGGCGAACTCGCCATCCGGATATTCGATAATGCAGGAAATTATGACCTGTCGCTAATTTCATGAGTAAGGTTGTTGTAATTTCGAGGCGGCTCACTGCTAGAGCGCGTGGGTCGCGCAGCTAAAAGCTCTCGATGATATGCGGTTATCGTGATGGCGTCTGACAGGAGGCGTGGTAATAGTAAGATATTGCGATCGCGTCGGCGCAGTTAACGTTATTACTCGTCTAATATATACATAATGTGAGATTTATGGTGAGTGACACGCGCGCATGTGAGGGGAGCTGGTGGCTGGAGTAGGCGGAGGTGTCGCATGCGTTTGATAAGCTCAGTGTTTCATAAGCCACGCGCCATCGATCTACCAAATTTGCCTTTGGCCACTCCCGTCATTTATTCAGCCAATCTCCAACCAGGCTAAGCATTAAAAATGTTTCTCGTACTCTTACACTCAATCTCTCTTGCTCTCTCTCTCTATCTTTCTCTCTCTCTCTCTCTCTCTCTCTCTCTCTCTCTCTCTCTCTCTCTCTCTCTCTTCTCCCTCCTTCTCCATTTCTTTCTCGTAATTCGCGCTCTTTCACTCGCGTCGCGTTTGTTGCCCTTCCTGACGTTCTGATTTTTATCATGATTTAACTTTCACCACTCAGCACTCACTTCTACATGTTTTCTGCAGATCAGAATGAGTGCGAGATCAACAATGGCGGATGTGAACAGAAATGCGTTAACTACCTCGGCAGCTTCATCTGTTTATGCTTCAAAAATTTTTACTTGGCAGAGGATGAAAAGTCATGTCTAGGTAATTATACTACATTGCATTGTTAACGGAGTCGTTTCATTTTGCAATTCGTATTCCTCTCTTACAGAGCGATTCCTCTTGAAATTCCAGCTATTATAATGAGTTCGACCGAATTTTTTGACAGCGATGATGACGACAGCGATGACGATATGATGATGACGACGTTGGCGATAAGACCGACGGACGATGACCGCGACAGCGATTGACGACGACAGCGATGACGATATGTATGATGTACGACGTTGGCGATAAGCCGACGACGCTTGACGAAGACAGCGATAACGATCGATCAGCGATCGACGCCCTATGATTGATGACGACGTTGGCGATCAGACGAACGACGATGACGGCACGACAGCGACTGATGACGACCAGCGATGACGATATGATGAGACAGAACGTTGGCGATAAGACGACGACCGATGACGAACGACAGCGATGACGACGACAGCGATGACGACGACAGCGATGATGATATGATGATGACGACGTTGGTGATAAGACGACGACGATGACGACGACAGCGATGACGATATGATGATGACGACGTTGGCGATAAGACGACGACGATGACGACGACAGCGATGATGACGACAGCGATGACGATATGATGATGACGACGTTGGCGATAAGACGACGACGATGACGACGACGACGACGATGACGACGACAGCGATGACGACGACAGCGATGATGATATGATGATGACGACGTTGGCGATAAGACGACGACGATGACGACGACGACGACGATGACGACGTTGGCGATAAGACGACGACGATAACGACGTTGGCGATAAGACGACGACGATGAAGACGACAGCGATGACAACGACAGCGATAATGATATGATGATGACGACGTTGGCGATAAGACGACGACAATGGCGATGACAGCAATGGCGACGACAGCGATGATGATGATGATGATGCTATTGTTGCTGCTGCTGATGATGATGGTGATGATGCTGCTGCTGATGATGATGATGATGATGATGATAGTAGCGTGATTTTAGTGATATTGCTAACAACGACGTTATTACTTTCATAACGATCCGCTAGCTTTCATTGCTTGCAACGCATTTGATTGTGTTGATCATGGGTGAGTGACGTATTAGTACGGAGGCGCCTGGTATATGTGACTGGTGACTTATGTCACTTCTGGTCTTTGTGGCGGGTGTCAGAGGGTAACTGTAAGCGAATGATAAGTCTCTACGCACATACTCCGCGACATGTAGGTCTACGCGAGTGACAATTTCATAGGTGCTTGTGCGTGAGCACTAACGCGCCAACTGTGATAGCTGACTTGAGTGTTGAGCAAGTTTCAAATGGTTGTATAAGTATGCCTTGTTGCTGATTTGGAGAGAGAGAGAGAGAGAACGCTGGAGACAAAGCGAGCGAGAGAGNGTAGCAGACATTGCCGCAGCCTGTGACAGCGTTTACCACGTGTTTTTCTGTAGCAGGCGTTCACACAGCATGTGACAGCGTTAACCACGTGTTTTTCTGTAGCAGGCGTTCACACAGCCTGTGACAACGTTTACCACGTGTTTTTCTACCGTAGGCGCTGCTGCCCTGCGTCACGTAACAGTGTTTAACATATGTTCTTGTGTGCTGTGTGACTCCGACATCCTGTGATCGGTTTCGCATGTGTTTTCTTACCTGATACGCGTCACTGGTCTCTGACAGCGTTTAGCACGTGTTTTTCGTTGCTGACATTGCCGCAGCCTGTGACAGCGTTTAGCATGTGTTTTTCGTAGCAGACATTGCCGCAGTCTGTGACAGCGTTTAGCACGTGTTTTTCGTAGCAGACATTGCCGCAGCATGTGACAGCGTTTATCACGTGTTTTCGCAGCAGACATTGCCGCAGCCTGTGACAGCGTTTAGCACGTGGTTTTCATAGCAGACATTGCCGCAGCCTGTGACAGTGTTTAGCACGTGTTTTTCGTAGCAGACATTGCCGCAGCCTGTGACATCGTTTAGAACGTGTTTTTCGTAGCAGACATTGCCGCAGCCTGTGACATCGCTTAGAACGTGTTTTTCGTAGCAGACATTGCCGCAGCCTGTGACAGCGTTTAGAACGTGTTTTTCGCTGCAGACATTGCCGCAGCCTGTGACAGCGTTTAGCACGTGTTTTCCCCTGACAGGCGTCTCCGGCCTGGGTGCTGCGCAGCGCTGTCTTCCCGGCGGGAGTGACTGAGATCGAGTGGTCGGCGTACAGCACTGACAGACTTAAGCGTGACGAGTGTACGATGAAGGTACACGTGCTGGGTAAGTGAGCAAATCTCCTGCCCCGCTACTATCCACGACGATCGCACACGCGCCTCAACTACAAACAAACAATAATGTGAATAATTGTATATTTGAATTATGTGATTATTATATTGTATTGTATCAATGGTATTTTTAATAATTATATAATAAATATGTTAATTATAATACATGTACTAATCATTGTGCACCCACTGTATTCATCTTAGCGAGGCAATCACGCTCCGTGGATACTCGTGCTAGATCGGTCAAGCTCACCCAATTTATACGCGGTTACGATACAGTGTCGACTTTTTAACACTTCGTTACTCGGCAGTGTTTTTACTAGGCATAATGGCAAGCAGTTGCGATGTCTGGGTAGATTGTTTAACAGGGAAGCATTGTCGGAAATAAATTATATTAATAATTCTCGGATTTCATGATTATTGAACATTGAAGCACTGCGCAAGTGAATACAAATCAATCGAATCAATCACTGACTCGTATAATTCTGCTGCACACAACGATTTACAATGTTTCTTGTAACGAGCCCCCCTGATTGACAGACTTGTGATCGAGCCCCCTGATTATTGATGTGTGGCGGTATTCACTGATGATTTCTATTGTGTGACGAAAAAGTCTATATAAGCATGTTTACTACATACTGTTTGTTACAGACAAACAGCTGCCATCTGTGTCCAGATGCCCGGCCTCTATTGAAGTGGTGACGAGCGAGGAGGTGCAGGAGTCCCAAAATTACCCGCCCGCCGTCTCTTGGCAGGAGCCGGAGTTTACTGACAATGTTCACGTGCAGTCCGTCTCGAAAACTCACGTAGGAACGCACACGCACGCGCGCACGCGGGCACGCACGCACACACGAATGCAAGGACCTCCC